GATGTGAAGAAAATATGAATTGAAATATGATACCAAATGATAAGATAAGACATCAATACAAGGGGAATAAGATTCAGATTATCTTGTTGATCGAATATCTCAAGCCAAGAACACTTTGTTTGAGATTCGAATCACTCTAGAAGCAAGATCGATCATGTCTAGCTTCAATGATTCTTGTTGATCAAATATCTCAATGCAAGAACACTTGTTTGAGATTCGAATCACTCCACAAGCAAGATTGATCATGTCGAGCTTGAATGATTCTACATGCAATCTAAACTACATAGAGTTGCAAAGAAACTTAGCCATCGACTAAAGAAAAGCACAAATGCTTCTTTACTATATTTTCCAAGTCTCTCTTACAAATATAACATATATGGCTTTATATAGCCTCATAATAAAACTATGAAAGACATACCAAAAGTTGTAACATTCATACCTAATGACCATAATTAGCCATTATGTAAATGTAACCTAAAGTAAATAAATAGTCTTAAAATACATTAATGAAATACAATAACTCTAAATTGTAATCTACCCAAAATTTATAACGTGAAACTTCATTCTTCTTCAATGTTGCATGAATTGAAATATCTTTCAATAATTTCAACAATATTTTCTTCACATCTTCATTGAAGCATATGTTATGATTGATGTCTCTTGGTTCATATCAGACTTTTTCTCAAGCCTCTCTTCTCACTTACTTTCTGGTAGGTTTGAAAGTCAATCTTAGGATATAGCTGTTTAAGGAAATTCAAGTATAGACCTTATTCCATCTTACTTGACTTCGTAATACTCTTGTTTTCGGTTTTCGAGTTAGACTGATTTCCAGATATCTTTGACTAGGAATTCCCTGTAACTTACCTTATCAAAGACTGCTGCTCAATCTAAGTACGGAATCGAAAGACTGATCTCTAGATATCTCACTCAATCCTACTACTTGCTTTCAAAAGGCATTCTCATTCTATGGAAGTCTAACTCAATAGTTCGAGTTCTCTTTCTAGTCACTCTTCTGTCTCAAGTCGTGAAAGAGAAAGAATAAGTCATTCAACGGTCCTTATGCTTTCCTAACTATATCGCCTTTCACTTCAACAAATCATGTAACATCAGAAGTGATATGAATCCAACAACTGATCACGTGCATGTACCCGAAGGACCGATTACAAGAAGCAAGGTTAAGAAGATTCAAGAGGCCTATACATTGCATCTTCAAAAGCTAGCTAGTGTACCGGTTGAAACAAAGACTTTTGTGCCCAAAAATCTTTATAGCATTTGCATATCAAATCAAGAAGATAATGGAGTGGCTGATATTGGAAAATAATTAGAAGACTTGCCTTTGGTAGTTGAATTACCAATTAAGGAAATTATTAATGCTTTATTTGCTTCCTTTTATATTTAATAGCATTTATTAATAGTTTGTATGAATTGCCTTATATTCTTCAATTTGTATTTAATAGCATTTATTAGTGATTGGTGGCTGAACCATATTATGTTAGGGTTACCTTTTAGACCTATTTAAAGGCATGTAATACTCATGTTTGAGAGATTTTAGTTGAATACAGAAAAAAACCTTTGTGTTTTCTTGATACCCTTTTGGTGTTATTCTTTTTCAAATCTTGCTTTAGGTTTGATGTTTAAACCGATTCATTGAATTAGTTTTGATCAAGCTAATTCTGGAGTGAATTGTCTTGGTATCTAAGAGTGACCATCATAGATTCCAAGTTCGATCTAAGAGTCATTCATCTTCTAACCAGCTCTTGGTTGGAATCAATCCGTTAAGTTAGCTTTCTCTGTGAGCGTTTTGCAAGGATTCTAGAAGGACCTCTAGCTTTGCAAATTCCAGCATTGTAGGCGCTTATCATTTGGTATCAGAGCATTTGGTCGACGTTCTTTGGCCGCTCTAGAGGTGAAATATCTTTACTATTATTTTTTTTGTATCAATCTTGTTTCTCTCTCAGATTATCAAAAAAAAAAAAAAAAAAGTCAGCCTTTACATTCTTGACCTAGTACCAAAAGCCTACCTTTGAGTGTTAAACACGAGTGTCCCTGAGTGAAATTTTTGTGAGAAGTGTGGTGAGGTCCCTTGATAACAAAATGTCACATAATGGAGAAGCAGTACCACCAGTACCAGATCTTAATACAACCATTCTTCAAGCAATTCAAGGTATGATGGAAATGATGATGGAAGATAGACAAGAAAGAAGGGCGCAACAACAAAGACAAGAACGAACATTACAAGAAGATGAAGGTATAGTAGTACAAGAAAGACAAGTTGATGGTAGATGGAGAGGAAGAAATAACCATGCAACTATTATGCAACCTAGAAGGATGGAAAGAGTACATGAAGATAGAGATGGGGGAGTTAAACTCAAAATCCCGCCCTTTTGTGGAACGGCAGATTCTGAGGCATACTTGCAGTGGGAAAGAAAGATAGAGCATGTGTTTGATTGCAACCTATAGTGAAAATAAGAAGATGAGACTTGCTATTGCCGAATTTACCAATCATGCTGGTGATTGGTACCAACATCTCAAATCTGAGAGAAGAAGAAAAGAGGAGAATCCAATAGAGACATGGGAAGAACTTAAAGAAGTCATGAGAAAAAGGTATGCTCCAAAACATTATGAAAGAAATTTGAAAACTAAATTGCAAGGTTAAGGCAAGGAACAAAAAATGTGGCGGAATATTATCAAGAGATGGAAACTATGATGAAAAGAGCAAATGTTAGAGAAGAAGAAGAAGATACCATGTCTAGATTCCTTGGAGGTTTGAATCGAGAAATTGCTCATCTTGTTGACAGAAATCCACCACCATATCTGGAAGATATGTATCATTATGCTCTCAAAATTGAAGACCAATTGAAGGAAGAAAAAGAGCATTCAAAAAGGTACACATCACGAACTAGCATCTTTTCAAATTCTAATACTTGGAACAAGGATAGTTTTATGAATAAAAATGATTCGATGTCACCAAAAGGAAAGTTTGTGACTGCTAAAAGAGTGGAGGCTGAGAGTTTCAATGGTAAAATGAATGAAGCTTCAAAGACGGTAAAAGAGAAGTCTAGTTCTATTCAATGTTGGAAGTGCAAAGGATTTGGACACATGAGCAAAGAGTGTGTTAATGAAAAAGTTATGGTGATAAGGAATGGTATACTTGATTCAGATGATGAATGTGAGGATCATGATTCACAGCTTGTGGAAGAAATCGCCGCATATGATGATGAGTATGTTGAAGAAGGTAATTCCATATCTTTGATCACAAGAAAGGTACTCAATGTTCAAATCAAGGGAGAGAAATTTGAATATCAAAGGGAAAACTTGTTCCACACAAGATGTTTGATCAAAGCAAACCCATGCAGCTTGCTGATTGATGATAGTGGAAGTTGCACAAATGTGGTAAGCAGTTTCCTTGTAAAAAGACTTCAACTTTCTGTCTATCCACATCCAAAACCATACAAACTTCATTGGTTAACAAACAAAGAAGAAATTAAGGTGAATTCCCAAGCTCTTATTTCTTTTACTCTTGGAAGATATAAAGATGAAGTTCTTTATGATGTCGTACCAATGCATGCGGGGGACATCTTTATCGGCCGACCTTGGCAATATGATAGAAAGGTAACATTTGATGGTTTCATGAACAAGTATACTTTTACTTTGTGTGGGAAGAAATTTACTTTACTTCCATTGTCTCCATATGAAGTACATTGTGACCAATTGAAATTAGAGAAAAAAAGAACAGAATCTGAAGAACAACAGTGGAGAGAAGAAACTAAGGTAAAGGTGAGAAAAAAAAAGTGAGAAAAAAAAAATTCAGTTCTTGTCCGGAAAGAACGATGAATTTGATTTGAGGACAAATCCTTTTAAAGAAAGGGGGGATGATATGAATCCAACAACTGATCACGTGCATGTACCCGAAGGACCGATTACAAGAAGCAAGGTTAAGAAGATTCAAGAGGCCTATACATTGCATCTTCAAAAGCTAGCTAGTGTACCGGTTGAAACAAAGACTTTTGTGCCCAAAAATCTTTATAGCATTCGCATATCAAATCAAGAAGATAATGGAGTGGCTGATATTGGAAAATAATTAGAAGACTTGCCTTTGGTAGTTGAATTACCAATTAAGGAAATTATTAATGCTTTATTTGCTTCCTTTTATATTTAATAGCATTTATTAATAGTTTGTATGAATTGCCTTATATTCTTCAATTTGTATTTAATAGCATTTATTAGTGATTGGTGGCTGAACCATATTATGTTAGGGTTACCTTTTAGACCTATTTAAAGGCATGTAATACTCATGTTTGAGAGATTTTAGTTGAATACAGAAAAAAACCTTTGTGTTTTCTTGATACCCTTTTGGTGTTATTCTTTTTCAAATCTTGCTTTAGGTTTGATGTTTAAACCGATTCATTGAATTAGTTTTGATCAAGCTAATTCTGGAGTGAATTGTCTTGGTATCTAAGAGTGACCATCATAGATTCCAAGTTCGATCTAAGAGTCATTCATCTTCTAACCAGCTCTTGGTTGGAATCAATCCGTTAAGTTAGCTTTCTCTGTGAGCGTTTTGCAAGGATTCTAGAAGGACCTCTAGCTTTGCAAATTCCAGCATTGTAGGCGCTTATCAAGAAGATACCTTTTCTTCAGTCAGAGTTCAGGGTTAAGAGGAGCGGGGAATAAGCGTGAATAGCCTACGGAGATGTTGATCAAGTTGATCAAGGAGAATCTGCCCTTTTTTTGGCTTTTAGTCATCAGTCTGTTCCCACCGGAGCTAGATAGGGAATAGAGAGGTTTCCATTTGGCATAAATCTTTTGCGAGCCCACAGCTCTCACGTAATTTCTCAGTGAAATCAATAAAAAGACGAATGAACTCCAAAAAGAAAAGAGTCCTTGAGGTCAATCACAGGTCATTGGCAGTTCTTTCCCTTTCTTTTGGAAGTCAAGCCTAGCCTAGGTAAGAGCAAGAGAGGGTAAAAGGATTAGGATCTTCTTACCTGAGATGGCCGCTTCTTCTAAAGTAACGGATTTGATGAAAGACTTTCTTACCGGTTAAGATACTACGGAAATAACTCTTATCTTATGCCTTGCCTACACAGAGGAATGAGGAGCTTTTCTAACTCAATCATACTGACAGCTCTCACGTCTAATTCAATAGAAAGAAAGAAAGAAAGAAAGATCTCTGGCTTGTTAAATAGAAAAAGGATGCTATAGCTTACAGCTAACCGCTTATGACCGCATCATATTTACAATAGAGACGTGTGGATCTGTTGGGCCTTTCTTTGATTAATGAAAAGTGCTTTTTTTGCTGGACCTACTACTTTCAAATTGTGATTTCTGTTGAATGATTTCAGTCTCATTCTGATCTAACAACAACAACAATCGAATCATGGTAGGATTTGAACCTACGACATCGGGGGTGTGAATGTTTGCTGAATCACCACGCCTAAATGGGGGTGAGAGTTCTCTTATTTATAATCATTTTCAGGATACAGAAATATGGTAAATTACAAATATTATGGAAATAGTAATAAAAGGAAAGAATAATAAATGAATGAAATATATTTGCCTTTAATAAGAGGGCAAATATGGTAACCCGTAATGTAAGGCAAATATCTAGATATTTGCCTTATAGTGAATGGTCAACTATCCTTAACACCCCCCCGCAAGCTGAGCGTCGGATTTGAACGAACGTAAAGCTTGGATTTGAAAAATTCAAAGAGAGGTCGAGAAATACTTTTTGTGAAGATGTCAGCAACTTGGAGATGAGAGGGTACATATTGTGTGCGAAGTTTGCCAGCGGTAACAAGTTCTCGAAGGAAATGATAATCTAGTTCAACATGTTTGGCCCGCTTGTGAGAAACGGGATTAGAGCTCAAAAAAATAGCACTTTTGTTATCACATAAGAGTAAGGGCTGCTTTGAAATAGGGACCTTGAGGTCATGCAAAAGATGCGTAACCCAAAGAAGTTCAGCAGCGGTTGTGGCAAGAGCACGATACTCAGATTCATAGCTGGAGCGTGAGACAGTAGGTTGCTTTTTGGCACTCCAAGAAACCAGATTGTTACCAAGATAAATAGAATAGCCGGATGTAGAACGACGAGTATCGAGACAACCAGCCCAGTCAGCATCCGAATAAGCGACTAGCGTACTAGGAACAGTGGATGGACGAAAGGTAAGACCAAAGTGGAGTGTTCCTTTGACATAGCGAAGAATACGTTTGACAGCAAGAAAGTGATCTGCAGTAGGGGCATGCAAGAATTGACTGACAGAATTGACAGACAGAATTGACAGCATAGGCAATATCTGGACGCGTAATAGTCAAGTACTGAAGGGCGCCAACAAGAGATCTATAGAGAGTAGGATCAGAGAAAGGAGAACCATCAACAGTCAGGTGTTGAGAAACAACCATGGGAGTGTGAACTGGTTTGCTATCGAGCAACTGAGCACGAGTAAGAATATCTCGAGCATATTTTAACTGACTAATAAAGAGACCATCAGGAGTGGGTGAAGCTTCAAGACCAAGAAAGTAACTGAGAGAACCCAAATCTTTGGTAGCAAACTCAGAATGAAGCTTGCGAGTAAAGCTGTCAATAAGAGATGAGTTGTTGCCAGTAACAATAATGTCATCAACATAAAGAAGCAAATAGATAATGTTAGATTGCTGATGAAAGACAAAAAGGGACGTGTCAGCGCGACTGCAAGAAAACCCAAGTGTGAGAAGAAATGAGCTAAAACGCTGAAACCAAGCACGAGGAGCTTGCTTTAAACCATAGAGGGCTTTCTTTAATAGACAAACATGAGTGGGAAATCGAGGATCAATATACCCAGGAGGTTGTTCCATATGAACACGTTCAATAAGAGTTCCATTGAGAAAAGCATTCTTGACATCAAGTTGTCGAAGAGGCCATTTATTTGTGACTGCAATAGAAAGCACAACACGGACAGTGGTAGCTTTGACAACCGGACTGAAAGTGTCAGTGTAGTCAAGACCAGGAACCTGAGTATAACCTTTGGCAACAAGACGAGCCTTGAAACGTTCGACAGATCCATCAGGCAAATATTTAATACGAAACACCCATTTAGAGCCCACGATGTTGGTGTTGGCAGGGCGAGGAACCAAAGTCCAAGTATCATTTTGTTGTAATGCTCGAATTTCTTCATCCATGGTAGCCACCCAAGCAGGATTCTTAGCCGCAGATTTGAATCCTTTTGGCTCAGTGGATGCAAGAAGAGCAGAAAGAAGTCCAGATGAGCCCAAAATACCAAGATTTGCTGGATGACGAGTCTTGAATATACCAGCTTTGGCTCGTGTGATCATAGGATGAGTGCCCAAAGAAGAGAAATCAACAGGAGGTTCAATAGAGGTCGAATTAGAAGTCGAGGGTGGCAAAGTGGAACCTGCAAGAGAAGTATCAACCTGCACAGACTCATCTACAAGGTCAGAACAAATATCACACGGGGATGAACTGGATCGAGGAGTTTGCGGTGATGAAGTGGTAGGGGGGGATGAATCAATATGATGAAAATGTGGTTCTAAGAAATTTGAAATAGGAATAGAGGAAAGAGGTTGGGTCTGGGAGCTAGGGATAGCAGGAAAATGGGTTTCATCAAATTGAGCATGACAGGTGATATATAGCTTAGTTGTGGCCGGATCAAGACAGCGAAACCCTTTATGAGCAGGACTATAACCCAAAAAAATACAAGGAATGCTGCGGGGAGAAAGCTTGTTAGGCATATAATCACGCAAATAAGGATAAACACGACAACCAAAGGGATGAAAATTGTCATAATGTGGAGTGTAGCCATAAAGGAGTTCAAAGGGTGACTTACCTCCAAGAAGTGGAGTAGGCAACCGGTTGATAATATAAGCTGCAGTGCTGAAGGCGTCAACCCAAAAACGAGAAGAAAGATGAGAGTGAAAGAGAAGGGCCAAGCCAGTCTCAGTCACATGACGATGTTTTCTCTCAGCACGACCATTTTGAGCAGGTGTATATGGACAAGAGAGTTGATGGTGGATGCCAGAATTACGTAAATGAGTTTTGAAACAAGTACTAGTAAATTCGGTACCACCATCGCTTTGAAATACCTTGATACGAGAAGAATATTGATTTTCCACAAATTTTTGAAATTGAAGAAAAATATCAAAAAAATCAGATTTAAATTTTAAAGGGTAAAACCAAGTGAATCGAGAATAATCATCAATAAAAATAACATAATAAAGGAAACCCGAATTTGATTTGACGGGAGAAGGACCCCAAAGATCACAATGAATAAGATCTAACACATGAGACGACCTACGTTCATTGCGGGAATAAGGCAATCGATGGCTTTTCGCAAGCTGACAGGTATTACATAATGATGGAGAAGGCAATAAAGACGTAAGAGAAAGATGACCTTTTCTATTTAAAAAAGAAATAACAGAATGATTCACATGACCTAGACGAGCATGCCATAAATCATATGAAGCACGTAAAGATTTGTTTCTAAGGGCTGAAATAAAAGCAGAGTTGCCGCGCTCCAGCACATATAGCCCTCCATCTCTTTTACCGGTTGCCACCACCCTTCCTGTTTGACGATTCTGGATAGTAATAAGATTATTAGTAAATGTAACGGAGAGAGGAAAATCAGACGTTAATTTACTTATGGAAAGAAGATTTTTAGTGAGGTGAGGGACAACCAAGACATCTAACAAGTGAATATTTGGAACAGGAGAAAGAGTACCGGTGTGGGTAATGGGTAGGGATGCACCGTTTCCTACAATCACAGAGTCCTTACCCGTGTAATTTTTAGACTGATCCAAAATAGATGGGTCGGCAGTCATATGGGCCGAAGCTCCAGTGTCCAGAAACCAATCAGCAGTATCGGGTCCAGCAATAGAACATGACGTGTTAAAGGCTTCAGCAAGGTGAGCATGAGAAGAATCAGGTCGAACATACCGTTGGTTGCAGCGGTCAGCATAATGGCCCTCTTTGCGGCATATTTGGCAGTGAGGTGGTCGACGACCTTGACTTGAGTGGGTTCGTCCTCGATTAGAAGAGTTGTTTTTGTGAGAATAAGAACGACCTCGCTGGTTGGTAAAGGAAGCAGGGTGGCTTCCATGGGTGCGATCACGATTAGTGACTGTGAATGCTGTAGGAGTGGAGTTAGAGGACTCAAGGGAGAGCTGAAACAACTCAAAACTTTCAGCTTTAGAGACTAAATCTGCAAAACAGGGGATAGAGGTAAGAGCCATCTGAGCAGTAGAAAAAGCTGAAAATTCGGTGCCGAGTCCACGAAGGAACCAGTGCACTTTATCAATGTCCTCGATCGGTCTGCCAATGGCATGAAGTTGGTCACAAATTTTTTTGAAGGCACGGGCATACTCAGCAACAGGTTTGGTGCCACGTTTCATCAACTGCAAGTCATCCTTGAGTCTCAGTTCACGAGTTTTCGACTGATGGCTGAACGTAGTTTCCAACGCAAGCCAAACATCACGTGCAGTAGGGAGACCAACGACAACAGCCATGGCTTCCTCAGTGAGAGAGGAGAGCAGGAGACAGAGAAGTCGTTGATCGGCTGCTCTCCATGCCAAATATTTGGGGTTGAGTGTTGAAGAGGTTTCTGGTTCAAAGCGAGGTGGTGGAACCATAGTTCCATCGACATAGCCCAGCATGTCTTGACTCTCGAGGAGAGGGAGAAGTTGGCTTTTCCAAAGAAGATAATTGGAGGAAGAAAGTTTGATGGTGATCATATGAATTAAAGTATTGAAAGGAAGAAGATGATAAGAAGATTCGGAAGCCATAGAGAAGAAAGGATCAGGGTTGTTAAACCGAAAGGGCTCTGATACCATGTGAATGTTTGCTGAATCACCACGCCTAAATGGGGGTGAGAGTTCTCTTATTTATAATCATTTTCAGGATACAGAAATATGGTAAATTACAAATATTATGGAAATAGTAATAAAAGGAAAGAATAATAAATGAATGAAATATATTTGCCTTTAATAAGAGGGCAAATATGGTAACCCGTAATGTAAGGCAAATATCTAGATATTTGCCTTATAGTGAATGGTCAACTATCCTTAACAGGGGGAGACCCGTCCGGCGTTCTACTATCAAACTAAATGCAACCCTAATATATATATCTTGCATGCATATTGATAAGATAAGGAATCAATACAAGGGGAATAAGATTCGGATTACCTTGTTGGTCGAATATCTCAAGGCAAGAACATTGTTCGAGATTCGAATCACTCCACAAGCAAGATCGATCATGTCTAGCTTGAATGATTCTTGTTGATCAAATATCTCAATGCAAGAACACTTGATTGAGATTCGAATAATCCAAAAGCAAGATTGATCATGTCTAGCTTGAATGATTTTACATGCAACCTAAACTATATAGAATTGCAAAGAAACTTAGCCATTGGCTAAAGAAGAGCACAAATGCTTCTTTTACTACATTTTCTAAGTCTAATTACAAATACAACATACATGGCTTTATATAGCCTCAAAATGAAACTATTAAAGGCATTCCAAAAGTTGTAACATTCATACTTAATGACCATAATTAGCCATTATGTAAATGTAACCTAAAGTAAATATAATGTCTTAAAATACAATAACTCTAAATTACTCTAAATTGTAACCCACCCAAAATTTATAACCATCAAACTTCATTCCTCTTCAATGTGACATGAATTGCAACCTCTTTTGATAATTTTGACAACATTTTCTTCGCATCTTCATTGAAGTATATTGCATGAATGATGTCTCTTGGTTCATATCATTCTCCACTTCTTCAAGAGGATTCGTCCTCGAATCTATTTGTGAAACTTTGCTGCAAACATAAGATATGAAAATACAAAGGCCCTCACAACAATCTCTCATGTGTATACACTCAAGAAATTTTAGGCCACTCTGTTTGCACTCATTTACACAAATGAAGCTCTCATTCTCACCTCTCAA